AAAAAAAAAAAAAAGAAACAATTAAGTAAACGACTTTGAAGAAAACAGAACCATCCCCAAAATATACTACTTTGAGGTTTTTAACAAAGATTCTTGAGTTATTTTCTTTAATACTATTCCATGTAGTGTGATGCTTTCAAAGTAGATACTGAGAGTCAACTAAAGAACTAGGTTCCTTATGCATATAAGCATAGCACTTAGACATAAGAAATTCTTAGATAATATCTTAAGCTATCCCTATAGGTAAAGAAACAAAAGGAAATAAGGTGAAATAGTTTTGTCCACCATACATCTAAATGTGATGGAGCTATTGTTTAAGTAATTTCTTTTAAAGCTCTGCTACTTATTCGTTGTTGCATTCCTGTATTACGTGTGGTAAAGCATAATTCTGATGTTACCAAGCAGGGTAGCACAGCAAAAAATAAAATAAAAATAAATCTTGTGATGTACACCAATCTTCTGTGGCAGTTAGGTTTAAAAAGTAGGGAGGTGGCTAATGTGACTTTCATCCTGGCAGCTGTTTTTTTTTTCTCTAAAGTTGCCTGTGCTTGCACCCAGCTATGAAGAACATGGCTTAGCTGATACTGAAAGGGGATGTTGATCAAAATCCCACCTTAATTACATATACTGGGCTCTTTTGTGGACGCCCTTAATTTGCTGCTGTAGTTTAAGGAAGTTTGTGTTATATTGAAGGGATTACAAGATGCTGACACTTCTGCAATAAGTTACCAAAAGAGAACTAGAACCACACAGAGGAAAATTAGAACTATTGGAAGCTGTAAAGGCCTTCTCTGACACATGCAGTGTGTCTGCCTTACAGTGCAAAGATTGAGCTTGGGAAAGACGAGGAGTAGAGCTAAGTAACTGTTCTGGTTCCGTGTAAAAAGGGGTTCAGGGCAGGACCCACACGGAACAGAACTATGGACTCGCCTCTCCCCCCCCAGAGAGAGAGAGACTTTGGAAAAAAAATGAAGTATATTGTTTAACAAGGAACAGAAAACGAAAAAGAGAGGTAAGGAAAATAATATATACAAAGATTAGGGGAAAAAATTTACAAAAAAAAAAAAAAAAAAAGGGGAAAAAAAAAAAAAAAAAAAAAAAAGGGGGCAAAATATACAAAACCCTCAGAAATAGTTCCAAGGTCCCACGGAGCGAAAAGCACAACTTCCCCCTCCAAGCTGCAGGGCAGGAGTGAAGTTAGCACCCACTTCCTGCCTCTTATCAGAGTGTGTGTGGGAAGGGGAGGGAATACAATGGTTCACCCCCACCTGGGGTCCTCCCAGTTGCTGAAAGGTCACACCCCCATCCCAAGCCTCAAACCACAACACTAACGCTGCCTAACTTCAAAAAACACTAATTTTTTCTGTTATTTAAAATGGAAAAAGGTCCTAATTCCTACCCAAGATGTAACATCAGGGATGGTCATGTTGTTCTTCAGAATTAAAGTCTTATGAAGAGTGAAAGCTGAAAAGCTAGTGGATTTTTGTCAGTTTTTGGTTTGCTTATTGTTTTGGTTTTTTTTCCTCTCTTGATCAGCTATTTTGCTGTTTAGCTTTTTAGTGTGCTTGGCCTAAGATTCCTAATTGAACAGTAAAAATACCAGTCAATACAATCAGGCAGTGGTGCCTGTAGGAAAGTGCATCCAAAGAGATCTTGTAACTTAAGCTATTATTTTCAAGTGCTTGATTTTGGCCTTAATTAACTTGAAGATTCTAATTTTGGGAGAGCAGTTTTTTAAAATAAAAATATACTTAAAAATTGAGTCTTATGTCGCCTGCATGTCGGAGATGGCTGCCTCCTTTTAGTTGTTGAGAGGCAATCACAACAAATCTGCCTGTTATAAAAAAAAGTGCATTTGTTGCTGCTTTAAAGGAATTCTGTTTGTTTACAGGTGTCAGCTGTGATGCATGTTTAAAAGGAAATTTTCGTGGCCGACGATACAAGTGTTTAATTTGCTACGATTACGATCTATGTGCAACTTGTTATGAAAGTGGTGCAACAACGACAAGGCATACAACTGACCATCCCATGCAGTGCATACTAACAAGAGTAGATTTTGGTAAGTGATAATTTAAAACTCTAGTATAATTTGCTGCTATGTTGTGTCTATAACCATAATATGGATTTTCGTGTTTCTATTTATTAATCCCATCCCCTGTTAGCACACTGAAAATAAGTGCAGGTTCTTGTCTTCTAGGAAACAGGCATGCTTTCTTTAGCATAAAGAGCAGACTTACGTACATGTACCGATTTCAAAAGAATTTAGTTTAATTCTATGGATTTGTCTGATAACAGCAGGTTATCAGACAAAACCACTTCATAACAGTGACTATTCCAGATTAACTCCCAGTTGGAAGATGTCAGTCTCCTCTCCCAGTTTACTTAAGTGCCACAGTATACAAGTAGAAACATCCTGGTGAGGTGTTGTAGGAATGATACTCTCTGGTGGCTCACGCAGGACTAGGTAGCTACATCAGGGGTAAGGACAGGCTGTATTGACTGTACAAGATTAGTGGAAAGGATTAGCATGTAATAGTCGTGGAACTCTTTTGAAGAACTACTAATTTAATTCTCTGAAACCATTTCAGTATTTCAAGTAAAAAATAATTATCCTTGTCTCCTACTGTTTGTTTCTATTGCATCATATTTATAACAGGTTGTAACTCAGGAGATACTTCTGTGAGGAGCCACTGGTCTAGGATGTTGCTGATGCTGGACATCTGCTCCATTTTTGATAAGCTAACATTTTAATAAATCTTTTTTTTAGCAATTCTGGTTGTATCTGCTTGTATACATGTTGAATTCTTTAACTTCTTAAAAGGTGAAGTTTTAGGAGTTGCAAATTTTCTTCTTTACTTTTTTGATTAAGTCAGAAGCAAAACCTACTTCTTTATTTCTTTAAAGATTAGAAACTAGCTATATATAGAAACATGCAGTTGGTTTCTCAAAATGGTCTTAGAATGAAGATGTCTTTCATTCTCAGTTCTCAGGCATCTGCTTGCACAAAGACTGCCTGGTGATGACTTCAGAAGTCTAGTCTGTGGGAATCCAGGTTTTAGAAGGAGATAACTTAGTGCATTATCAAAAATGCATACCACCATTTTAGCTTGCATGTATTTCTTCTTGATTTTTTTTTTTTTTTGTCTCAGTAATGAGGTAAAATTCTATTGTATATGGTCTATTAATTCAGGTTTATGGCCACTGTTTGAGATGCAAGGTTGAAACTTCATAGCCCTGTAGCAACAGTTACTCTTGGATGTTACAGATTGGCAAAAAGGACTACATTCCCATAAACTTTAAATGCTCATAGGGATAAGAGGACTGACATACTCTTGCTATGAAGCTGACATTAAAAATGAAAGCTTCCAGTGTACTGCAGTGAGGAAACTTTTTCTAAATACTGCTTTCTTAAAGAGTATCTGTGATCAGAACCAAAGAATGTTTAGCGAATATATTGTTTCCTGCAACTTGGATGTTTCTTTTGGAAGTCTTGGATAAATGTATCTTTTGGTGTAATACATTTTACTTGTGTTTGTTGTGGTGGCAGAGTGGTTATTTTTTACTTTTGAGGTCTGCATGAAGACTACATTCTAGAACTAGTCTAAAATTAACTGTTTCAGAGTTCTAAGGATAGCTGTACTAGTGAATTTTAAAATTCACTAAGTAAGCAGATATTAATGGGTTAGAAGAAAATCTCATGGGGAAGACTGGCAACATAAAACTAAATGTCACAGAAGTACTGAAGTCTTCAGTCACTTCCTAGTGACGTGGCAAGTCAAATAAGGGGAAAATGTTTTCTAATATATGACAGTAGGAGTAGGGAGTTTTGCTGAGCAGGCAAAACATCAGTAGAAACACAGAACAGAAGGCTATTCATCTGGGTAGGTGCATGGATTCTTGCTTATGTGGCCATTGACAAACGTCAGCGCTGTTGTCTATAGTCAAGTTTGATTCGAAAGTATGAAAACTGTTTCTAATAGGAGTAAACTTAAAGTTTTTGCTGGTGGTGGGGAGCCAAGTGGACAGCTGGTAAGAGGTGATTTTTAATAAGGAGAAGGAGCAGAGTGGAGGATCCTTCCATTGCAAAACTGATGCAAGCACTTCAGAGGAAGTCTGCCATTTTTCTGACTGTTAAAAGTGTGCCTGGGGATCAGTGAGTTGTTTACTGCAGGTCCACCTGCAGCTGATGGGAAAGCCCCTGTGTCCCTCCAGTTCCTGTCAGCATTCTGGCCGGCAGTGTCTACGTGCAGACAACTGTCATGGTCACTCTGTGGCTGAGCTGGTGCTTGTGGTGGACAGCAAATCACACAGATGGTTCTCTGTATCTGGGATTGGTTCAGCACAGCAGTTAACATTGCTTAGCTCCATGAAAATGATGATCAGTTTTTAGGGTTTGTAGGTACTGTAACAGTCTTGCAGAGTATTTGGCAAGAAGACTAACTTATTAGGTGCTCTGAAGGAACTTTTGTTGTCGTACTGATATTTTTTGATCTATTGCCCTTGCCCCCACCCAAAAGTCAGACTAGTGTAGGGAGCTCACATGAGAACACTGTACACAAAGAAAAAGCCCTAGTGATTTCTTGCTACATGTATTCACTCTTCTACCGTCTGGTTGGCATATTTGTGTTCAGGGAGTCAGTGTATGACCTAGTGTTAATTTTGAAACAAGATGGGGTCGAGAACAATGGCAGTGCTGTTGTTCTTCAGTCCCCACAAGACACTGGAAAAAATGTTTTCTCACACGTGCTGAGAGTGATATGCTGCTGAAACAGGAACAGAGCTTAAAATAAGTTATGAAGTCTCATACATAATGACAACTGGCCTTTAAAGCACAGATCCAATTAGTTTATTTCTGATGGGTCAAGGAGTAGAATTGCAATAGGCCTGTGTAGAGAACAGGAATGTGCTTACCCAGCAGTCATACTTTTGTGCTTTTTGTAGGACAGTCTGTCAGGACAATGGAGAAATTCAGAGCAAATTTTTTTTTTTCCCCCTTTTTTTTTTCTCCTGAAAAAGAATCCTAAGCTGTTAGGATGCTTTATTATTTTAAGCGTGTGGCTTGCGCATTACCACCACCACGTTAAAAGGATTATACTGGCAAATAAAGTAATACAAATTGTTAGTAGAATTCTCTACCGAAATCATATTGTGTTGCTTTTATCAAAGTACAGAGCAAGTGTATCTTCACCTGTCAGCTCAAGTGCTTATGTGGCAGAAGATTCTGATGCCTTTTGGGTGACTAAGGCAAAGGGTGCTGCTTAAATAATGGTTACCTTGATAATGTGTAGTGTGAGATCTGACTGGATTCACGAGAATTCAGCATGAGTCTTTTGTTGGGTGGTTTGTTGTTGTTTGTGGTGGGGTTTTTTTGTGTGTGTTTGGTTTTTTCCCCCAGTGGCTAATAGGAGATCTGTCTGATAAGCGTGTACCTTGCTGAATCAAAGCATCGTAGATTAGTTTGGTTTGTTTTGAAGTGGGCTCTGAAGATATCTGATCCAACCTGCTGTTGGAAGCAGGGATGTAAGTCGGGCTATCCCATCAAGCCAAGTATTGAATATTTCCTTCAATGGATGTTTCACTACTTCTGCAGCATTTAGTTCCTGTAGTGAACATTGGGGGTTTATTGTGTCCCTTTATCCAATCAGAATTTCCTCTGAAGGAGCTTGTGCCTGCAGCATATAATCATGCTCCCTTTTAAGAGCCTACCTTTATTTCCTCTACAAGTGCTTTTTCAGTGTAAGAAGCTGGAGATGAGTTCCACCATGAGCCTTCTCCAGCATGAACCCCATCCGTTCAACCATTCTTATGTCAGGTTCTCCAAACCTCTAACTTGATGGCCAGATATGTGTGTGCACACACAAACACATTAAAAAACACCCCTAGATCGTCTGTCTTTTTTCAATGTCTGTTTTGATTTGGAGAGACAAAACTGACCCTCTGTTGCATGTTGCCTGCCAAGCAAATATAGGTTAATCACATCCATTGATTTAGATGTCTCTTTCCTTGCTGATTTAGCCTAGATGCGCATTTGCCTTCTATGTTGCAGAAGAATACTGTTGGCTTGTGTGTGGCTTGCTCTCCACTGGTGTCCCCCAGCCCTTTTCAGCAGAGCTGTCCCCCAGCTAGTTGAGCCTGTTTGAGGAGCAGCTGCTGTTGGGGCACTGCTCACCATTGGCAGGTGGGCTGCAAATCCCCTCATGGATATTGGCATCCCTGCTCATTCATGGCTTCAGTGTGTGTTCTTGTTGTTGGGGAGCAGCAAGACCAGGGCTGCTCCACAATGAATAACAAACCAGGAGCTAAGGGTGACCCCAGCACAGGCAGGGGCATTGTCCCCACTGTCAGGCTTTGCAGGGTAAGGTTGGTAACAGGAGCAGGTCTTGTTGACAGTCCCAGAGAAAGCAAGTATGGTAAGTCAGCTCTAGAGTCCACGCAGGAAAGCCCCCTAAGGCAAGAGGGCTGGGTGTAGTTGAAGTCCTGGCCAGATGGTCAGACCTGAAGATGTAGTCCATGAGCAGAGTGTGTGTGTGTAGAGGTCTGCCCTGAGTCTAGGTAGCTTAAAGCCTACTGGGCAGCCTGGGGCCCTGATTTCTGCTGTGGAAACAGAACAACCTGCTGTGGAAACAGAACACCCAGCCACTGCTGGACAACTAACTGAATGTCTATTGTGTGAATTATCAGCCCCAGCAGTGTCTGTCACACTGAAGCAGTGCTGCAGAGCTGTGAGACTGAATACTGAGATTGGCACTTAGTTGATGAAGCCACGTGAAGAAAAATAGAGGCTGTGCTGTTTCTTCCTGCTAGACACAGTCGTACTGGAAAGGTTGAAATAAGCTTCTAGCCAGAGCATCATGTTTCCAGATTCAACCAAGGCAGCATTTTACTCCAGCAGATATGGCTCTTGCACTGCCTTTAGTGAATGGGGAGAGTTCCTGGTGAGGTGAGCAGAGATCCCACCCGTTGAGAGCAGATGCCTCTAGCCTGCAAATGTGAAACAGATCAGCATTGGTGACTAACAGAATATTAGAGTCTAGATGAGTATTACAGCTATATTACTACCTATTTTTGTTTCACAGGATCAATCTTAAGATAATTCTGGTTGGAAGGGATCACTGGAGGTCTCTGCTCCAACATTCTGCTCCAAGCTGTGAGGTTTTTCTAAAATCTGTTTTATAGTTTAAAATAAAGTGTACCTGGTGACCTGTATTTCAGATTAGAAAGGGGACAGATTTTGATTGTAAGACATGGTGAGAGACTAAAGTTGAGGAGGAAAAAAGGGAGGTATAAACTTCAAAAGGAAAAATATTTGGATTTTGTCAGTGACTTGATTTTGATTCTGACATGTGCGCTTCTTGGATATTTTTTTCTCCCAGATGAAGGCATATTTATTTGGCATGCGCATGTATGTTTGCTGTGTGTTATGAGAAAGGTGTGGAAGAAGGTATGAGTGGGAGAACATGAAGGAGTATAATCAAGGGGCTAGATTTTTTTTTTTTTTAATTGGCTTGTTTCATAGTCTCTAAAAGCAAGGGCCAGGAACACAGGATTTGACAATACTCATCAAACCTCTCCCTTCTGTGGTAGAAGAGTGTCTACTGGTGGAATTCTTGACGTCTGGACTGAGCTAATATCATACCTAAGGAAAAGATAATTTTACTTGCATGCTCATTTATTTACGTGCTCTTCAGGCTGGTTGTAGCCCTGTGCCCTTTGCTCTGCTGGGAAGTTGTGTTGGTACTTCTGCCTTACTTGAAAATAGGTTCATGAAGGAGTGAGGTTTATAAGTAGAGGTTTTTAGATAATTTTGAGGGATTTTCTTTTCTTTTTAAATAGTAGGTGAAGGAAGCTACTTTTATATAAAATTTTTGCATTCTTTTCTTGCATGTTTTGATAAATTTACATGTTAAGTTTGTGAAACTTCTATATTAGCAATGTAGGAGTGCCTGGTTTTCATCAGTAGTGCAAAAGTGCTTGAATTCAACACATAAAAGTTGCAAACAGTCTGTAACATATATTATCAGGTTCCTTTTCACTGTCTGAGAATTCAGCTTTTGAAAACTGCTCTTATGATTGAAAAATGGTGACCCTGTACATGAGACAAGAGGAAGAGTGGAGGTTTGGCAGTATCAGCATCATCATAGGAGTCTTTGCTCCTGCAGAATATTAGAAAACTATCTTATGATTGCTGATGAAAATAAAATGTAGTCTGTGTTGGTTTTGTAATCAGTAATTGAACACGTCGTGAGTGTCAGCCTATGACCTTTATAGAAGATTAAAATAGCCATTTCAGTTAAATACCAAATTAATTTTGCAGCGATTACATTGAAGTACGTTTATAAACAGAGGTTTAGATTAACAAAATAAGTGATACTACTGCGTTGAAGTAACCTCTATTTAAATGCCTTCTGTTCCAGATTTGTACTATGGTGGAGAAGCTTTCTCTGTAGAGCAGCCACAGTCTTTCACTTGTCCTTATTGTGGAAAAATGGGTTATACGGAAACATCTCTTCAAGAACATGTTACTTCTGAGCATGCAGAGACATCAACAGAAGTGGTAAGAAGCTTCAGAGTTGGCTTTCAGTTGTGGTGGAAATATATCAAGACGAATCTTTCTTCTGGAAAATTGGTATCCTGATTATTTTTTTTTATTCCTTGAAGGATGAGTTAGTTTAAATGCTTTGCAAGAAGACATACCTGCACTTGATGACGACATCAAAATTCTTCTGTGTTTCATGGATATCATAATATAATGAGGTTGTTTTCTTTTATGGTTGCTGTTTGGTTGTCCTAATGTAAAGACTGCCATGTTCAAGAGTTGATTACCCTGTAAGATGTAATTTAGAATGTTCTGATGGCTCTTCTGTGCAGCTGCCTCCCTTTTCACAATCAGTGTGTAATTGTCCTCATGGCTGTGCTAGTCTTCTGTAGATGTGACAGGAAGACATGCAGGCAGTTTGGCATGGTTTTCAGATAGCTTTTGTAATGAACTCAGTACATTTATGCCATAGAAGTTATCATTCTTTTGAAACTATTGCTCTTAAAGCAGGGGGATTTTCCCCATCCCTAACCATTAAGACACTTGACATGGTAAAAAATGTTCTTCCTAAACAACTGTCAACAGAAATAGTTCATTTGTGGTGTTAGCTCCTGCTTTTGTCTTTGGGAGTAGGAGAAAGTAGGTTAGCAGGGATGCTTTTGTCTGCTTAACTGTTACACCATAGACTCCTAGAAAAATATGAATATTTGAAGTGGATTACTCATTTCTAGTACATTGTGAAGAAACTTCTCATAAATAGGTTCTCTGTTCCAATCTGCTAGTTTTCTTAACTCCCAAGGAATTCTCTGGAAGAAAACGAAATGTTAGTCTCCAAGCCTATTAAGGATCTTGTGGGCAAGAGTCATAGGGGAGGTGGCTTGACTCCACCTTTCTGAGACTGAAAGGTGTTCTTATATTTTTAAAAAATGTGTGAAGTGAAACAATTTATTTCTCAGAGAGTTGCACTGTACGATCGTGTCTTAACTCAGTGACACAATTTTCATAATCTTGAGTTTTCCTTTGTGAGTCTCAGACACATAATCAACCATTATCGAGTTCCATGTTTGGATGACTTTCTTTGGCTTAGTATTGCAATTCTGATTTGCACCACTTGGTGTCAGTGGTATATTCCTGACACAATGTTCAGATTCCAGGTTTTTAAATTTTTCACATCCATGTTTTGCAGCTGTGACTTCCTAGAACTCAGTAAAGACTAGTCATAGTCTAGTATCTGTATAATATGTTTGGGTAGTTAAGTATGTATTGTATTGTGCTGTAGTAAGGTGTCTGTGCTCTGCAGTGTATCTGCGTGTATGGCTTCTCTAGTGGTGACAAAGCTGGTAAGCAGAGTTCTGTGAAGAGAAATGTTGAACACTGAAAACAAAGGGAAGGGACTGTAGCAAAAAGCTTCTAAATTTCCTGGTTTTCTGCTCAGGTCTGACTCCTAAAATTGAAGAGGCATTAAAAAAATGTAGCAGCTTCTGTCAAAAGCAGCTGTGATTTTTACAGCAAACTTAGTTCAAGACCTTGTCCTTACCTGCATAAGGGTAGGACAAATGTGTGTGCTATTATGTAGGTGTTCTTAATGCCCACAGTCTTCAGAGATCTACTATGGACAACTTGAGCACATGCATGAAGAGCACGGGAAGCCTGGGCTTTGTATAGCAAAGCTGATCTATAAAGCCAGTACAATTTGTGAGCAACAGAGAGAGGAATTCATAGACAGAAGTTGTTACAGTTGTCAGAGTGATGTTAATTTGAGCACTTAACATTTGGGGGAAGAATTTTGTGGGATGGATTGGTGTTGTTTTTGTCTGCCATCTGTAAAACTTCTAAAATCACTCTAAACTACTGTAAGGAAAAATGGAAGATATTTTTTAAAGTGTGTTTGGAGTTACTGAAAAAAAAAACAAGTAATAATTATGGCAATTGCAATGGCACTGTTTGTCTACTTAGTCAATGTGTGTTTTAATTAAAAACAAACAACAAACTTGGTAAAATACAAAACAAGGGCAAAGTCAGTGCCTTCTCCCAAAATACTGTTGTGTAGGGATATGGAGATCAGTCCCTCTGTCAAACCTGGGGTTACACTGCCTGGATGGGTGGCTTCATTCTGATTCTACTGCTGGGATGAGTGTCAAAGCCAGTAAACAGTAATCCTGTCATCAAACTGCTGCCTATGGCAGAATTGGCATGCAAAGACTTAACTTTCAAGACGTTGCAAACTGAATTTTCAAATTCAATCTGTTTTTCATAGCGTGCTGAAACAGCATGAAGTAAAAGATGTCTAAGTTAATGCCTGCACTTGAATACATTTTCTGTTTGTTTTTTTAATGTGTTGCTATCCAGGTATTTGTGAATATATAGGATGTGCTTTTAAAGAGCAAGAATCGATGTCTAATGACTGACTCAATGCGAGTTCTGTTTTGTCTGTAAAATTAGTAAAGGTGGGTTCTTTCTTGGTTTGTCCTTTCAGATTTGTCCAATATGTGCAGCATTACCTGGAGGGGATCCAAATCATGTCACAGATGACTTTGCGGCTCATCTGACACTGGAACACAGAGCTCCTAGAGATTTAATATCCTTTACAATTTGAGACAAAGACACTAGACTGTTTAATCTGCTCATCAGTAGCCATGATGACTTGTTTTAATTTTTGTAGTCAAAGCGTCATACCTCTTGCTTTCCTGGAAATTAAATTTCTAAAAATCTGTATATCAAAAATAAAAAAGATTCATCTGCTGTTTCAAAGCTTATAAATACGAGATTATGAAACAGACTGTAGGTATACTTGACAGTGCTTCCTGCTCTAGCAGCAAAAAACCTTTAAATAACTTAAACACAGAGAGGTTTTTCTGCTTGCGTTGTGGTTTATCCTGCCTGATCGTCTTGATGCTGCTTTTTGCACAGATTCAGTAGTATGCTGTAAGTATCTGTGCATGAAGATGATTGAGGACGATTCGAGCTTAGCTGGGTTTGATGAATTATTTTAAACTTGCTTAACTGCTTTTAATGTCATGTTTTAACACAATTTCATAGTGTTACTATATTAGTGTTAATATAACTCAGAAAACTTTCAGATTTCCTGGGTAATAGGATGTTGTCTTTCAGTTCTTTCAGCAGTAGGTCGTGCAGATTTATCTACACTTGATGGCTGAAGAGCTGGAACTATTGGATATTTTTGTCCTTGTTCTAGGAAAATTTTCTCTTTTTTTAATTCCTTCATACCTCCT